TAGCACGCCCCATCATCCGCACGAACGAGACCATTGCGACACTGGAGTCGAGTAATATGCGAAAAAGGTTGAATGTGCACGAGCTGACTCCCAGAATCGGCGATCAGTCGGCCATTTATTTCGAGGATTCTACGACTTCGAATGCAAATAAGTAAATGAAGAAATTCTACCACTCTCCCGATCAATACGTATAATTCCTTTGCCGGATTTCCGGGGTACACCACTCTTCCAAGCCTTAAGGAACGCTGCCTGTTTCTTTTCATTTCACTCGTTTGTTTTTTTGCAAACTTCCACTCACTGATGGACCTTCAGTGGATGTTAACGAAATAGCAGATATTCGTTTGAAGTGGTAAAAATCGACCAACTATGCTTTGAAGCTGTTTTTTTCTGGAAATTTTAATTATTGTCATCTTTTACTTACAGTAGATACGAATCAGCATAGACAAGAGCATCAGCATGGACACAAACTCAACTATTTTGACGATTTTTGTTCGTTTTACTTTCTAAATTAGTTTGTACTGATGCTTAATATAGCGTAGTTCTAGTCAGCGCATGCAACCATTTTCATAACTTTTCAATCTCATTGAACTACTATACTTTAGTGCCTCTACAGCAATCCAAGCTCGTAGTCCAAGATCCGCGTGAAAAGGAATTCACCTTGACCAGGTGAGCGTTCTACATTTTGACTGTGCTCTTTTGATAATGTTTATCAACATTTTCGAAAATTCACATGATGATTATTATATATTCACAACATTTCGTAAGTGCTGATCGATAACTGATCGATAGATACCCACAAATATTTGGCACCGGTATCGTTTCAATGGAATAGTATTTCTAGCTGATAATAAGTGATATCAATGTTTCAAGATCATAACAACGCCTGATTTGGTAGATACTTCAGTCCACTTGTATCTTTGTTGGATTAGGGCTGCGGCTGTATCCTGGAGGAGACACTTCCTGAAGAGAATCGGGTAAATTCAAATCATACGGTATTCATTGAGAAATACGGTAGCTATTTGTTCGAGAACTAATCGCCTAAGTTTGGGATAGTCTTGTACCCTATGATTATTCTTGGTAGATACTGGGCAGGATAACTACTTAAGAAACGCCGAATTATCTTGAGCTGTGGGATGCGACTCGCATGTTCTGAACCGCACCCGCCTGCTCTTGGGCGAATGGGGAGTGAAACGTGTCGCAGCTATGAAGTATGTGCCGTAACGCAACGCGTAAGCCGCGCTCCTCGTTCTTGACTCCTTTGAAGAAGACGGAAAGGTCGTTGAATAGCTGACTGGGAGGATAAAAACCATATTCGCTCATAGGCAAGTTGCTAGAGCTAAATAACATTTTATGCTTTCATGGATATGAATGGGAATCGTTCGCGTCGCCCGCCCTCTCCAAAAAGGGAATTGTCCTTGGCAGGGGGCTCATCGTTTTCTCTTCAGCGCTGCTCGATCTTTTTGGAGGGGTGTGGGTTGCACTGCCATGTGAAAGGCAAGCGTGCGGACAAATCCCTCCCTCCCTCTTGGTCGACGATTCGCTTCAGATCTCGTAGCTGCTTTGAGTAGGCACTGACCATGGATCGGCAGCTCTCACGTTCACATCGTCGGAGTGTTAGAGAGATAGAGTTTGTTCGAGGGTCTGTGCCGGTGGTAGTGGATGCCGTTCTTGTCCATATTGTAAAAGAAGAGGAAGAAGCAGGAGTTAAGTCGTACCAACAAGAAGAATATTGCTTTGTGCATTACTGCTCACATTATCGATCACCCCCCTCCCCCTTTATCGGGCTTGTGTCTGGGGTACAAAATAGTAGACAGAACTTTCCCGCCAACGTAATACTGTAATCGCAGAGACATACCGCTTCTGCCATCAGGACTCAGTGACAAGCACAATTAGTCGTTTCCTGTTGCCTCTGTCCCTCCCCCCACCCCTTCACTATAGAGAACAACCTCACCTGATCGTTAACCCGCTATTTCAGTACGAATCAGCGGACAAAAAATTTTCGAATTGGGAATATGTACTCCACTGGGAATAGTCGAAATCTCGGTTTCCACTGCCTTTCGCATAACATCCCTTTCAACAAAATTAGGCACTCCCCCTTAAAACTCAAACCACATTAGGGATTTTTCGAAGAGGATATGCCCCATTTGCTTTTGAGCAAAAAGCGTCGAGTTTTCGGGATGCGAAAGTTTACTACCTTCTACTTTCTCATTATTTCTCAGAAACAGAAGGCGCTTCTGATAATGCGCTGAGCGCCTCGCGTTCTCGGTTGTGGAGAATGATGTTTTCTGGTAATCGCGTTATCATGGTATATTGGGGGGGGAAAGTGACAGTGTTAGTTCCCCGATGATCCGATGTTAGTTCCCCGATGATCCGATTCTGACATCTACCGCACCCTCCTCTATGATGCGTTTTTTTTCTAGTACGACGGATTGAAGGAGTGCACCAAGAAATAAGATGCAGTGGTTGTATGTCTCCGCCCCATCACGGGATGGTCTTTGAATTTTGCTTCAAAAACAAGCATTAATAAAGTGGTGCTTACATTGAGTTCATAGTTAGGAGTTGGTGATGGTGAGTGTGAAGGTGGTGCAAATGGATTTTCGAAAGGATTAGCACCTATCTTTGATATCTTCTTCGTAGGCACACCTGTTGATATAGCGGAAGCCTGAAATGTGCAGTCGTAGGAAAAAAAGCGAGTAGGGATGAAGGCTTCGAAAGAAAATAAGAATTTCGAATTCCGTGTTATGTGAAGGGTTGTGGAGAGGTGCAGCTTTGTGAAGTATGGAAAAATTACCCGTATTAATTTTGTAGTGAGAAAATAGCAGTTTGACAATAATTAAGCAAGGCGGGGCATTATAATGCGATGCACCGAAGGCATTTAGAAAAACAGCAAACAACTCTGAGACGCCACAGTTCTTGGAGGGGCGGTTACATGACACTAAGACAGTTCTGCTGCTAAAGGACAGATCGCAGGGAAAGAAAAGGTTGAGACTGCGAAGATTTCGAGAGGTACAAAAAAGAGGGATCACGAGCCAGGAGATGAGTTTTTTTAAGGGATAGGCCAGGGCTGATGAGTCACTATTATGCGTGAAAAGTTGAAACGTGGAAGGTCAAGAAGGTCGCAGAACGTGAGAACGCTGACTAGGGAAGGTCGTCAGGTCGAAGTGGCCGTTTGTGAGGATATGTAGATAACTAGACGTGGTTTTGGACGCTGATCTTGAATCTGCCTTCAAAATTTGCAAAGCGGTTCTCTGAACAGAGTTTATGGAGCTCGCTGTGTTTTACCACGCAAACAGGTCATGGGAATCGGACGTCCCTGCTTAAGCTTAAACTTTTATTGTTTGTTGCGCAAAAAGTGATTTTGCCGTCACTACTACTTCAGTTCTCACCTGAGCTTGTCTGAAGAAAAGTTTGCCTCCATTCATTACTGCGCTTGGACTCCTTGTAGACTACAGTGCACTACAGTGCTTCTACAAGGAGTCCAAGCACGCTAATGAACGGAGGCAAACTTTTCTTCAGACAAGCTCAGGTGAGAACTGAAGAAGTAGTGACGGCAAAATCACTTTTTGCCACGTTGCGCAACAAGCAAAAAAGTTAATCTCAGCAGGGATCCGATAAGAATCGCTTTGCAAATTTTGAAGGCAGATTCAAGATCAGCGTCCAAAACCACGTCTAGTGATCTACATCTCATCACAAATGGCCACTTCGACCTGACGACCTTCCCTAGTCAGAAAGCTGACGCAATAAAGGAGTTGTGTTTTGGATGTCCATAGACCTGCATGACAGATTCTCCCTCAGCAGGGTCTGGCGTAAATGGAGGAATCTTCTATGGGAATCTTTTCTTCGGAAGGAAAACTCTTTGCTAAAGAGTGAGGTCGTTTTTGACTCTACAGATTTTCTTGACTGTTCATTCTTCCCGTTTCACGCAAGCGATAATCACTCCTAACCAGTTTGACGTAGTTGGGCTCGTATTGGCAGTTGACAGTAAGGGGAGGTGTGCGTCGTACTAAGAGCTTTTGGTTGGGCTTGATCCTGCTTCTGAGGCTCAACCTTAGAGGGGTGCAGGCGACCGGCGTCCACGCGCGGCCTCGTCCCTAGTTGCAGATGTACGGATAGGTGGCTTTGTGACTACCATGAACTGCAGCAGCATCACAGTTTCATCAATTACAAACGTTGAGAAAAGCAAGTGCTAAGGGGTGCTAGGTGCTAGCACGTCAGTTTCTGTTCTGCAGGAGCAAGCCGTACCGGCTGTGGTCGTCTGTGCTCTGTTGTAAGCCTCGGCTAGAGTAAGGAGCTTCAAATGCGGCGTCTTCTAGCCATCCGCTCTATTTTTGCTCCAAGGAAAATAATACCAGCTTATGGTTAGTCTCGAATAGCGGAAATCTGTTCCCACACAAAAGAACAGAGGATTCGTTCTTTTTACTATGTACCTCACCCGCCTCAACACACCCCTTCTGAACTTGGTCAAACCGTTCATCCCCTGTCTCACAATTGTTTCATTGCCTTCTCCAACTCTCAATGGCGTCTAATATTAGAAATAAATAGAAGAGATGACGCATAAATGAAGTCCATGGCATCACATCTTCTGCAGACTTTGTGCTAAATTAGGGTTACCGAAGCCCGCCAAACTTTCATACCAAATGCTCGAACATACGGGAATAGCGCCCGCAGCTCAACTTACAATGTAAAGCTCAAGTCAGTCGATGAAAATGCGCTTATAAAAACAACTTGCCTTACTCTCCCTCCGTTTTGCGTCTGAGATTTTTTTCAAGAGTTTCTCTTTCACAACTCGTTTCGTGAGATATGTGTATAGATACGTTCCTCCCTTAACAATGAAGTGCTGATAGTTAGACCTGCAGACGTGCATAGTTTTACAGTTTACGTACCTGAATTAAAGAGAGTATACTCAATCCGAGCCACATTCCAATAGAACCTCCAAGTGCGGCAATAAACGCTGTGAGAGTATATTTCCAATGTTGCTCCATTGTGAGATATTCGAAGGAACCCCAGTTTAAGTTGATCAGCGTTAAATCTAGGTTATACATGTTATTGATAGGTGTTATGGTGGTCTCACTCCAAACATTCAAGAGTGACAGGAACTTAGCAACCCGTTGAGTATCACCACCTAGTCCATGCGTGCGTGGAAGCTTTCCTCAAATTAGGATCGCGCGCGTCAAGAGTGCAGCAGATTAGTCAATTTAGCGAAACGTACTTTGCAATGCAGTGTTTGAGTCGGTTCAAAATCGGCATTCAGAAGTAGTCTGATCTTGTATATACTCCGGCTGCGTCTATACTTTGCGGCAGCGTCCACCAGGTCCACCAGAGACAGTCAGCGTCTTGAGGGACTACGAAAGTGGGGATATCGATCCTAGTGTCCATCAGCGACCATCCGGGACCAGGAGCTCAGTATTGTGTAGTATTAGGATCATCCCATTCAAACTGGCCGCTGGTTTTTTTGAATAAAACAAAGAGGAGAATAGATAGAAAAGTGATATTTTAGCTTTAGGATGAGTAAATCCCTCCTTCACCAATGACCCGCTCCCAGTGCCCCGAGGGCCTTTCCTCTGGTATTTTTCAACAAGTGTGGGTAAATTGCTGTTGTTGCCAATTTCGGCAAATGACAAAACATTGTAGCGTCTGCCGTCGGAGAGTACTCTCAACTGAATAGAACAGTTGTAATCGCATGGCTTTATGACGGGCGAATGGGGCGATTGAACCCAGGTCTCAGTATTGTTTGTGTCCCAGCACTGATCTACAATACAGTTACTCGGGGTCTGGTACTATGACGAGCAACGGTGGCCTTCTTGTAGTTGTGTGGTAGCATCCATTTGTCGATCTGAATGCCGAGGAACAGGCAATATGCACCGACAGTGACGGATTTGTTCTCTGTATAGAGCCGCTTGAAAGCCACAGTGTGGGAATCCTTTGCTATGATGATCATCCACTTGCGCCCACGTAACTCTTCATGGTAGAACTCGGGCGGCTTCTCATCTGCATTCATACAAAATTGACGATTGTGAGTTTCGGCTCGAGGTCCGAGACCACCCATATTTCATCTAAGGCCTGGGTGCGTTTTCACAGTTGTGAGTGACATCTCATGCTGAGAACATTACTGCTAGAGGTATAGAATCGGTACTGCGTTCGTGCTTCTATAAGAAAATTAGGTACCCCGCACACCCTCTTGACCATCCTCAGTTTATCGGACATAACTCGGGCAGCAGTTGCAGCTGGGATGTCAGACTCGCGGGGAAGCTCGACAAAGGTCCAGGCTCTGTGATCAGATATTCAGTGCCTGACTTCATCCACCCGTTTTTCTTGTGCAGGATGAATATTATGGGACCATCCACGACAACAAATTTTTTCCTTTCTTCCTTGTACGGGCTCCTGAACCAAATCTTCCACCGTGTATTTCGAGAACACCCTTACACACAACTATGGTCCGGCGCAGGTCAAATTTGAGCAGCGCACTTTCCTCTTATGACGTCTGATTTGAAAAACCGGCGCCGATTTTCACCACTCGGGCTTCTTTTCAATTTCTCGAGAACTTCTTCTGGGGCTAGGTTCGCCAAATTTCACAGATACACAGCTTAAGGTACTAGCTTCCAAATGGTATAGTAGCCCGCTGCTCTATCCCCTTTGCTTTTCTGCCATTCCTCTATATGTAGCGGCCTGTTTGAATGGGATGACCTAATAATGCGATGCGGTTGCACGCGTCAAAACATGACGCCTGATAGAGCTGTCTTCTCTCTCCTACTTCCCTCAACCATACCAGCATCTGTCACCCCCCTATTCCCCGTGCTCTCCACTCATGGTCGCTGATGTCGCCGGTGGACACTGATAGACGTTAGATGGATATCCATACTCTTCTAATCCATCGAGAATTGTGGACGCTGGTAGAGGCTGGTAGACGCTAGACGCCGATGCCGTGGATCGTTACCTATACTTTCTTAATCGCTGAGGATGACGAATGCTTGAGATGCTGATGATCGCTGGTGCACGCTGCCGCAAAAGAGCGCAGTTTCTTTTTCGCTGCGAACGCTGCTGTTGTGGTAGGGGGGGGGGTACGGCGGAGGCTGTTTTTCAAGGTATAACATTGTTCCCTCAGACAGGCCGTATCTTGTCGCTGAAGAGGGGTTCATGTTTGGCCTCTCGAACTTATAGAAATTTCCCCGAGTCGCGATGGAATTTTTTTCTGTTGGTAATTTTTCCGTTTCACGCTCGCTTTCGGAAAAAACCCGTCCTCCCACTTCTGTGCTATGCGCCAGTTTCTTCCAAAGAGGCCGTAAAATACTTCGGAAAATTATCAGAGATTCGGAAGAATTCGGTAAGGTCGTAGTGAAGGCTTTTGAAGTCCAGCATAAAAGTGAAAGGATTCACTATCTCGGAGTGAGGGCGCAGGCGAACAGGGGGCAGTTGGCAAATCACGTAAATTCATTCTCACCAGGTCGGACCATTCTTCCTTGAACCTCGTGGTCAATCTCGTACCGGATTTGACGGCAATCGCGATAGCATCGTTTAGCACATTCGGAGTCCGAATAGTTACCTTTTTGTACGCTGAAATTAGTTTTTAGTATAGCCGACTGCAACTCTTATAGCTATTGACTACTGCACTTCTTAGAACAGTTGAGTTTTGTTCACTCACTCAACTTCACATTTCGTGTAGTCACAAAGCGGGTAAGTATCCAAGTCGTCCTGCGCAAGATAGCTAAGTGATAGTGGGGTGCACTTGCACATGCCCTGTAAAGTCTCCACTCGGTTATATTTTTTGAAAGCGTCGTGCGCCAGTGAGGATGGAGAACTGTCTCCGCCTACACGATCAAAGTGGACTGTGCCCTGAGCCTCACTAGGTTATTATGTTGTCGTAAGAATAAGCCATGAAACAGCTAGCGGAACCTCCTAAAAACGGACTAGCATTTACCCGAATCATTTCCATGCGACAACGGGATCTGCAATCAAATTCGCCGTCCTCCCCGTCTTCAACATTTCGGCACGCCGTTCCAGGTTCATCATTCTCGAGCATTTGATATAATGCTCGAACTTCGACGGTGACTTCGTGACGCTGACCGGCACATAGCTGGAATAAGGGGATCTCTGACTTCATGCTTGACGTTGAGAAAGAACTTCAGACGGACCTCAAATGTGAATCCGTCTCGGGCTCTTCCCTTGCCCTCCATGAATCGGTTGAGCGATGAAGGGCGCCCATGAAAGTCAACACTCATACATTCAAGGTGTTCTCCATCGAGATTTTCAGCGTTGTGAGATAACAACATGGTGAAGAAGTTCCCCTGGAAAGCAATCGATAGTCCGTCCTAAAAATAGGCAATAATAGACTTACTTGATCCTCAATTTCGTAAAAGTTGTCCCCGTCGAAGAGCGGTTGGAAACATATTTGCATTTGAGAAATCCAAGAAGTTCTTAGTTTGGTCTTGATAACCAAGTCCTCATTGAAGGTGGTACGTTGGAAACGCTGCATGGAACGGCGTAGAACTTCCGTGCCGGTCTTTTGAGTGAATTCTTCGAAAGTAACATTCCGCGTTTCGAGCACTTCCATCCATTTCTGAAATGAATTTCCTTTGCGGGAGTCAGTTGGCCAAGTCGGGTGATTCGAAGTTTGGTAGAGAACAAGTAAATCAGAGCTGTAATCCACCTTCCTACCATTTCACCGTGTTTTATCACAGCAATGTTCTGAAAAAAAGACTGCTCTTAACCGGGTGGGGGCGGGGAGCTGGGCATATATGGCGTACATGAAACGGGAAAAACGGGAAAAATTAACTGCCAAAAACATTTTTCCTCTAAAGCAGTTACGACTTCTTTCCTCCAGCGAACGAATACTACAACCCTTAACGGAACATGCCGTGGTTGTCAAGTCCAGCCAACGAAGCAGACTGGACTGTTGCCCCGTTTCCTTGCAAAGACGTTCATTGTCTATAAAAGAGAAGCTTTAGTGAGAGTAAATGCGGCTTGATTGTAATGATTTTACTGATAGAAATTCGCTCCAAAGAAACGTTCCTCAGTGGGGCGAGATCCATGGCTAGGACAAACCATCGCGTGTGCAAAAAGTTTGTTGAATGCAACCTTCCTCAATTTTTTGTCCTAGTAGCAACCCCCATTCCATAACCTGCCTATGCTCTCACCAGCTTTTTTTCCCCAAAATCTGACGTGGAGTGAAACTCTCGTAAGTGACATTTTGCAAACGAATCATTTCCATCCTTCGAGAGGAGGTTAAATTCGTTCCTCCATTGAGGTGCACATTTCCTTTTAGCTATCAGAGATAGTACTTTAGCTGCTCCCGAATTGGGGGAGGGGAGGGGTGTAGCGCGTATGAAGCGTAAAATTAACTAAAGGGTGAAATTCTCTTGGCAAAAAAGACTACCTCTCCCCACTAGCTACAGTCTTGTTTGCTGTGAGTGAGGGGGGCGCAGCGCTGAGCTCATCCCGTCTGACGCGCCTCTTCATCTGCACCGAACAAGGCTGTTAATACAACGACAGCCTTTGAGTTTCACGCAGTGGATGCTGTGCCCTGTTCATGAATGTACTGCACCCAATCTTCTTATAAGGTTGAAGAGAACGGCACATCGATGCGCTGGCGGCGGTGGTCCCGATTCGCGTCCCTTTATGCCTAAATCCTATCACAACCAAAGCCGTTAGCAAAGAATAATTCTTTCTGCATTTTGCTTCAGATTTGTCCCCTTTTCAGTCTTGCTCCTAGCTGCGCATGACTATTGTTTACTATACTTCAAATTAAAATCAGAGGCCCACAGTAGTAGCAAGAACGGGTATTCGTTGTCAACACAGTCTTATCACTGATTTGATTTGGTTGTACCAGACTGAATGAGAAGTCCCGCACCTCTCCATTTCAATTTTACTGAGAATTACTGACGACGTTTTAGCCCCAGTCTAGCGTTTCCTTTTTCTTTTTTTTCCTCCGGATTCTTGAAGGCTATAGCAAGTACATTAGTGGGCTCCTTGTGAGTTCTTTTGAACTTTAAGCTCCTCTGCGGACTCGATTTAACATCTGTTACGAGTTCCCGCAGGGGACGTCTGCAAAATCCGCTGAGTTTTTCTGGAGATGAGCGACGTTTTGATTGGCCATGCTATTAGGTCGTTGCAAAAGAAATGCAGGATTTCGTTTTTTTGTATTTAATACTTATTTTATTCCAATAAAATGTAAGTGTTATATATCATTCGAAAGCTTATCTAATGCTCTTTCTAAATGATACTTCAAGATTGGTTGTAATTCTTTTTAGAGGCCACAAAATCGTTGAAGGCGTTTTTGACATCGTCTTGGTTTTTGAAGCATTTCTCTCTCTAAGATAGTTGTCCAGATGCTTGAAAAAGTGGTAATCGGTGGGCGACAGGTCTGGTGAGTATGGTGGATGAGG